TGCAGCGGCCTGGGTCACGTGGCCCCAGGCCCCAGAATCCAGTCCCACTACCCCTTCCAAAATGTGTCCCTCAGCCTCCCCTAGCACACTCCCACTGTGTTATTTTAGTGTACTGTCAACACCTCTCAGGCAAAGAGTTAGCTTCTTCTGCAGGTGAGCTTATAACACAAAAGTGGTGATATAAATATTCTAGCTACTAATCATGATTGCTTTTGTGGTGTAAATTAACTGTGTTGTCTGCATCAGGCTTTGTCTATATTATCTGCAGCTCATCACTATAAAGGACTTCAGGTCTACAAAATGGAGGCCAGATACAGGTACTAAGCCCTGTAGTATAGTAAACACCTCAAAATAAATACAGGCCAATCTTAAAGACAAAAGGCTTCTGCCAAAGACTACCTAATTTTCTTTGACTTCTACAACTTTTTAGAGCAACTTTTTGTCAAGAGTCTACTTTTCAGGCCAGGGATTTAGCTCAGTGGTTCTGCCTCCTGCCTCACAAGCACAAGGACACAAGTTTAATCCCTGTACCAAAAGAAAAAGAAAAAGAAAATGGGCCAGGGATTTAGCTCAGTGGTTCTGCCTCCTGCCTCACAAGCACAAGGACACAAGTTTAATCCCTGTACCAAAAGAAAAAGAAAAAGAAAATGGGCCAGGGATTTAGCTCAGTGGTGCCACTGCCTGTCTCGCAAGCACAGGGTCCTGAGTCCAATCCCTGGTACCAAGAAGAAAACAAACAAACAAGGTTAGAAAATGAAGCTTTAGCATCCATGACTTGCTAATGTCCTTGTCCTTTTTTTCCAGACCCTCAAAGGATGATGGTTCATCAGACAACAAAACCCTTTGTCTTCCTTTGTGTTCATTAGTCCATCAGGCAAGGTGAGGCTTTTGATCCCTGGCTGGGCAGGATGCTCACGGCTTCTCAACCTGAAGCAGTTATAGAAGGGGGACCCTCAGTCCTTCTGGATCCCTTCAAAGTAAGGGATCTGTATCTGGGGCAGGGGGATGAGATAGGATAGAAGGAATAAAGATAGGTAAAGAGGAGACAAGGAAAGTAATAACTAAAAATTGTACTTTTGAGAAGACTACAACTTTTGGGGCCCAGCCAAGGCTGCCCAAGCCCAGCCGGATCAGCCTTCCCTTGGTCCATGCAGGGTCCTTTCCTTCCAGATGCACTGTTTCTAGATGGGCTCTGGGGGCTTCTCCCCGGGTCCTTGGGCAAGCCACACAGGAAAAAGCAGCCAGGCTATAGTTTTAGAGAAGACAGAAAAGAAGTGACTATGGAGTGAGAGTGGGTTGGTGAAGAAGGCTCGTGGGGGCCCTGAGGATAAAGGGAACGGGGTCTTTACCTGCTTGGCGTCCACCTCAGAAAATACAGCACTGGGACAATTTCCTATCCAAAACTCACATGGCCTCGGGCTGGGGATTTAGCTCAGTGGCCTCACCTGGCTTGCAAGCGAAAGGTCCTAAGTTTGATGCCCGGTACCAAAAAATACAAAGCCAAATAAAACCTCCTGCCAGATGTCAATGGAGGAGCAGGATTGATTTTGATTGGTTGTGCCCATATGTAAATGAAGGTTTGAGAATATCACTTTCTGATTGGTCCCATAAGCCTTTCCGAGTGGTCATTTGAGACCCTGCGTCCTGCTCACATCTTTCCTTTCTAGGAAACAACCCTTTCACTGAATCAGCCTTGGGTCCCATGACCTTTGGTGTACTCTGCTCAGCTGGTGTCTGGTGGCCCCAGCTCTAATCTCCTACCTCATCATCGCACTTAAAATTCCTCCAGAAGGGCCGGGGATGTAGTTCAGTGGTTCCGTCGCCTGCCTCGAAAGCGCAAGGTCCCAAGTTCGATCCCCGGTACCAAAAAAATTCCTCCAGCATACTGTGAGTCCCATGTGTAAATACCGAATAGTTTCTCTGGTGTGAGAAACTGAAAGTGTAAATAAGGGTTAAAATGATTAAAACAAGTAATTGATAATCGAAATAGGAAGAAAAGGTCCAAAGGGTTAGGGGAAGTGGGAGGGGATGAGGAAAGGAAAGAAGGGAAAGGAAAAATTATGAGTAAAGGAAAAATGGAAACAAAGTCTTTGTAAATAGGGAAGGGTGGAGGGGGTAAAGGGAGGGCAGGGGAATGGGGAAAAAATAAGAACCAAGACACATCATGTACAGGTACAAGCACCCAATGATAAATGTACACGTATTGTACACCTAAAATGTACCAATAAAAGAATTTAAGGAAAAAAAAAAAGAATACTGTGAGTCCATAAATGGGCTTAGCTAGAAAACGTGAAGAGCAGGAATATGATCCAAAGATAAAGGAGCAGAGTGAGGGAATTCAAATTATCTGTCTTTTTAAAAAGACCAGGCTCGCACCTGTACTAGGGGCCAGTAGCTTTCTGGGAGGGGCCACCTTTCTGTGGTCTCCACTCCCTCAAGAGCAGGATAAATTGTCCTGGTTCCAGGAAATAATGTGCCTCTCTCTCTCCAGGCCCGCACTCCGTTCCTCTGAGTGTGTACTTCCAGATTCCTACACCTCTTGCCGACACATCCTTGGGATTCTTTTTTTTTTTTTTTTTGGTACCGGGGATTGAACTCAGGTGCTTGCGCTAGAGAGGCAGGTGGCAGAACTGCTGAGCTACATCCCCGGCCCCCTTGGCATTTTTCTCCAGGGCCACAGTCAGTGAACTTTGAACTTGTTCTGTGGGTGGGGCGAGTTTATGCTCCTTATCTCTGCTTTCCAATCCTCCCACACTGTTGTTTAGCTTCCTCCCAGCCTGGTCTGGGATCTTTGATCTCCCGGGCAGCACAGGGAGCAGCAGTGGACTGACAGCCTACCTCTCCTTTAGGAAGGAGAGAGACAGGGAGGGTAGAAAGTGCTCCTCCTAATGGCCTTCCGCTCAAGGTAGATCTTAGGTCAAAGACTCATAGTCTGGTTCCCTTCAACACACGACCGTGTGGTGCCAGGGTGTCACCCCCAAAATATCACATACTGTGCAATTCCACGTATGTGTTGCTGTCGGTGAGAAAATGACAGCCAGAAAAGGAGCCAACTTCATCGTCAAGAAGAGAATCAAGCACCAATCATAACACCATCAGCAACATCTGCAGGGAGCGAAACTCCTGGACTCCCAATTAGCTTTTAAAAAACAAAGCTCTCTGTTGCCTGCCTCGCAAGCGCAAGGTCCTGAGTGCGATCCCTGGTACCGCCAAAAAAATAATAAAAAAAACAAAGCTCTAGTCATCTTTGACCGGGGCACGCCTGTTGTTCTGAACCCTGGAAACCGTAACAGGAAAGAACCAAGGGACCCTAGAGGAAGGACAGGGAGAGGGTCACCGCAGAGGGCAGAGGGCCGTCTGCCTGCAGGAGCTGAAGCAGCAGGGTGGGGGGCAAGGCGCAGCCCTGGCCTTAGACTCAACCTGTCCACCTCCCACTCTGTACCTTACTCTTAGTTCTACATTTTATTTATTAGTGCGTCTGTGCAGCACATGACTGCATCCATCGTGAGAAGTCCCTGCCTGTGCGTAACACATCCCAATCCTTTTCATGTCCTTCTCCTCTCCCCTCCCCTGCCCTCCCTCTCGGTCCTCTTCCCATTTGCAAAAGATCTCCCTGTTTCCTGTCATCTATCCTTGGTTTTGCTCTTCGATTTATTATTTTATCCTTTGCCCCTCATTCTTAAAATCCAGCCTGCTGGAGTGGAAAGAAAAGGCCCCTCCTCCCTCCTGCTGATGCTTCTGTGATCATGGGTTTAAAACTCAGCCACAGTAGACAGATTAGCAGGAGAAAAGATACTCAAATTTATGGCATGCCGTGACAAAATATGGAGAGGGGAGTGGGCTGGGGCTGTCTGTTGGGGGCAGGTCCGGGACAGTGAGGAGGGGCAGGTTGCACTGTCTGAGGTGGAAGTGCTAGGCCAGGAGGCCTGGACAGAGGTGGTGGGGCCCGCAGCCCCTGCCACAGCTCAATGCCGCGGGCCGAGAGGGCATCCTCCGAGGATGTGGACTTCGGAGGACTCAGCGTTAGACAGACCCGGGGTCTTCAAAGAGGAGAAAGAGGAGCGAGAGGCAGGAGGGCTGAGAAGGTCAGAGAGAGCCTGGTTCTCCAGCTCAAAGCACTGGGGCACCTCAGCCCCACCCACTGGGTTCCGTTTTCGAAGCCCGCTTGGTCCCTCTGCGGCAGTGGGAGGTGAGACGCCCAGGAAGAAAGGCCTCGCTTAGCTGCGGCCCCGAAGGCACCACGGAGCGGGAAGCAGCGGCCACCGCAGGAAGCCTTGCTTGGCACCTGGTCCACTGGGCAGCTCTGGTCCGATCCAGGCTGGGCAGACTCCCCAGGCCTCTGCATTGGGCTCAGAGTCAGCTCATGGCTGGCTTGTTGGGGCTGCAAGGGGACCCCGCCCAGACACGTCCTGTGTCAGGACAGGGTCCTCAGAGCCAGGAGTCTCCTGTCAGCACAGCCCTGGTCAGGCAGCAAAGGAGGTCACAGCAGCCAGGTGCCAGGGTCTGGGGTACGAACTCAGCCCGGCTGAGTGCAGTGGACCAAGAGGGGACAGCGAGGGTCAGCGCTCAAGCCCGAATTTGCTGACAGCTGGCTGGGCCATGGGGGCACCGGAGTGGTCCCAACTGTACACCGGCGCCAGAGGCTGCTTTGCTGAGAACTGGAGCCCAGAGCTGATGTGAAAGCTCTGCTCACACCACCTGAATGCCACTCTGTGCGCACACTCGGCACACGTGCCCACCTGTGCACTCACCCACCCTTGCTCCACCACTGCCAAGCCAGGGACTGGCCCCTCTGCCAGCAGGGACAGGGAGGGTGGTGGCCAGCACCCCAGAGCTTCCCCTCCAGGGCGGATGGAGCCAGTGTGGGAACCCCACCTAGCTCCAACGCCCACAGGGACCCCCGGCATCTACCTCTCCCAGTCCCAGGGTCCCTCCTGTGGCCGGAGAAGGGGAGCTCCAGGCATGGGGGAGGGGCTGGGAGGTGGCCAAGTCTCCCAGCAGGGGGACGGGAAGTCCCCAGCCAGGCGCAGCTCAGCAGCACAGGATTCTCGAGCTCACAGAACAGGAGGACGCGTGAACTCGGGCGCAGAGGCGGCAGGCACACAGCGGGTACAGCAGCAGCCCGGTGAGTACCGAGGCCCCTTGGGGGGGCAGCACTCAGGGGACCTGGGCCGGGGTCTCACCTGCCGCTGACACGGGGCAGGATGCAGGGGCCCAGCTGAGCCTGCAAGGGTGGCAGGGGTGAAGGAGGGGCGTCGCCTCCCCCTCAAAGTCTGTGGGGAGAGGACACAGTGTCCCAGGGACCCTAAAGCCAGGCCTCCCTGCCAGGCAGCTGGAGTCTCAGCCTCCTGACCCAGCCCGGCCTTGCCCTGTCCTAAGGGAGAGAAGGACCCTGGGGATTCTCAGGCAGGGCCAGAGCCAGCTTCGGGAGAATACTGTCACCCCAGTGTAGCTGGGGAAGGAAGGAGACCTGGGAGGAGACCCGGGAAGGGAAGAGGTCTCTGCCCCCACCCAGGGCTGGGGAGAAGGAGCCTTCGAGGGCCGGGCAGGGCACTCTCTAGTCCAGCAGGTGGCACGGGGCGCTGGTGTCTGTCACCACCCAGAGACGGTGCAAAGACCATGGGTCAGGCTCTGCGGCAGGGACAAGCCTCCAGCAGTGGCCAGTGCTGGGCTGGGGCTCAGTTGCACTTGGGGACATAGTGGCCAGGTACCCTTGGGCCCTGGAGCATCGCATGCCCTCCAACCCCACAGACGCCCACTGGACAGATGGGGACACTGACACCGGAGAGGGGTGAGGCAGATCCTTGCCAGGTGACCCCAGGGCCTTGGCTCCACCACCAGGGTACTGCGGGTCTGAGCTCAGCTTCCTCTGCTTCGGAGGGGGCAGAGTGGCACCCACCTGGCGAGGTTGTCAGTGACAGATGCTGGCAGGGCCGCCTGCATGCCAGGCACCACTGGGCACTGTTGTCCCAAGGGTCGCGCTGGGTGGCCTTCCTGGCTGCAGGAACAGCAGCAGTTAGGAGCTGGAGGGAAAAGTTCAGTGGCAGGGCCACCTCTGCCCCACCCAGGGCCCGGCCCTCCCCAGAATGGATGATGTGGAGACAGATGGCAGCCGGCAGCCGCCAGGCTCTGCGGGGTCTGTGGCCCAAGGCCCCCATCCGGGGCTCCCCCTCCCTCCCAGCACGGCTGGGCAGGGCGCAGGGTCCCCAGGCCGCCTCTCTGTGCAGGGCCCCCTCCACCCTGCGCTCAGGGCCCGACTTCGTCCCAAACCCCGCTGGAAGCACTGGACGCAGCAGGTTCCCTGCCAGGCCAGCTGAGCCCCTCCACACTCTGGTGTCTGCTCTCGGCTGAGACCTCAGCTTCCCTCCTTCCCTCCTCTTTTCTTCTTTCTTCTTTTCTTTTTTCTTTTTTTCTTCAGTACTAGAGACTGAGCACAAGGCCTTCCCGCTGAGCACATCCCCAGATTTCCCTGCATTTTGAGACAGGGCCTCACTAAGTCGCTAAGCACCAGGCTGGGCTGCTTTCCATCCTCCTGCTTGGCCCCCATGGTGCTAGGGTTACAGGTGTGCCACCCTGGCCCCTGGGTGCAGGGGCTGGTGCTGTCCGGCTGACCTCCCGTGCTGGGTGCAGGAAGAACTGGGCGTCCTCCAGACGGCACCAGGACAGGCCCAGTGCCCGGGTAGGGCAGTCCCTGCTGCCGGCTGGACAGGGGTTCAGGAGGCCTCCAGACTGACACTGTCACCCTGCCTGTCAGCAGAGAACCTATTTTGGGAGGTGTTTTCTCTTCTCCTGAGGAGCAGCAGAAGGGCTCTGTTTTATCAGGTTTCTCACCCTGGGCCCAGGGGAGAGGCTGCTAATTATGAAAATGCAGTGAATTCTGGGAATGTAGCTCAGGGGCGCCACACCCGCCTGGCAAGCGCAAGGTCCTGAGTTTGGTCCCCAGCTCCAAAAGAAAAAAATAAAATAAAATAAAATAAAATAAAATGCAGTGAATGCTGCGGCCAAAAGCCATCTAAGGAGAAGGCGGCTCAGAAATACACGACGCTGTGTCCTCATTGTTCAGCAGATCTGGCACCTGAGACTCTGGCTTTTCCCAAAGTTGAGGTGACCATGAAAGGTCAACATTTGGAATCAATTCAGGACATGGCGGCAGCCAGGACAGTGCTAAAGACACTCAGGAAGGAGGACTCCAGAGCCGCTGTAGAGAGTCCCGAGGACGACGGGATGAGCGCGTTGAGAGGAGGACTTGGAGGAGGGTTACTGCGATGCGTCTCTGCTGTAATGCTTTTATTTATTTGAGCGTTCAATCACAGCTAGTATAAAGCCAGGATTTCTGCCCTGCATTTCCGGGCCTTCCGTGGAGTGGCCTCCAGCCCCCACACCTCTCCCGAAACCTGTGGGGAGCCTCTCTGTGTTTCCCAGCCGAGGGTCCAATGCGAGCCTCGTACGAGACACCCACCTGGGCAAGGGCACCGCCCCCGTCCCGGGACACACGCGTGGCAGCGCGGCAGGCGCAGAGACCAAAGCTCAGCCAGGGCTTGGCAGATCTCGGGCAGGGTGGCTGCTGTCCAGCCGCTGTTTGCTGTCACGTTGGCACTCACGTCAGTGTCCCAGTTTTACTGGAGAGGAAACTGAGGCAGGGGAGGTGACCACCTCATCCCCATATCTCACAGTGGGAACAGAGGCCTGGGTTCAAGCTGTGCCTCTGCCTAGAGCCGGGGCTTGGCTGGCCGAGTCCTCACCGGCAGGGCGGCTCTCTGTGACATTGCGGAACCCTCAGATCGTTCTCGCTGCTGTGTCCTCGAAACAGCCTCGTCACACCGGCCGGGGGTGGTGCTCGTGGAAAGGGTCCCGGCCAGCCACGCCTGATACGCCACAGCCACGACACGGCCAGGGCCAGGAGATGAGGCTGGGTCCTGGTCTCTGGAGGAGCAGGAGCCTCAGGGAGCTCCGCCTGGGGCTCATTGTGTGCTCTCAGAGCCGCTCACCCTCTCTGGCCGGAGGAGGTTAAATGCAAGATCCTGCCAAGGGCCCTCTCGCTCTGGGGGTGCAGCTCAGCCTGCCCAGCATGGAGGGGCTCAGCCTGTGATCCCCAGCACTGGGAGGAGAGAGGCAGAGAGGGAGAGAGACAGAAACAGAAGGGAGGGAGAAGGGAAGCGGGAGGGAGGGAAGACCCTCCCACATCACCCAGGAGCAGAGATTAAACTCCGTCTCAGAGAGAGACACTGCACCGCACCAAGTCCAGGCCTTGCCCAGCCTCAAGGCCCTAGCCTGAAGCCAACTTCTCTGAGACTCTGCTCCCCGGCTGTGATCTGGGATTCATAAGCAAGCAGGGCCAGCACTGTCCGCCCCAGAGAGCGAGCAGGGGTGTGACTCCACTGTGACCTGTCCCCAGGCACTGCCAGCACCATGTCCGCCCCTCCCGCCAGCAATGGGGTCTTCGTTGTCATCCCACCCAGCAACACCAGTGGCCTCCGCCCACCTCCGGCCATCCTGCCCCCCTCCATGTGCCAGCCTCCAGGGGCCGTGCAGCTTGAAGAGCCTCCACTGGGGACACAGACGCCCCGGGCTGCCCAGTCTTCCGACCTGCGTCCCATGGACACGTTCCTGACGGGAGAGCCCAAAGCTTTAGGGGTGAGGTGGCATCCTGCAACCCCAGGCACAGGAACTGGGCAGGGAGGGGCAGCGGGAGGGAGCAGGGCCAGCAGATGCCCAGGGAGGCCTCGCCCTGTGCCAATAGAGGCCCTTCCCGGGGCTCACAGGGGTATGCACAGCCAGGAGAACCAGAGGGCGCCGGGCTGAGGCTGATGACGCACCAGCAAGGGCACAGAGGACGTTCTCCCAGGAGGTGATGCTGATGCAAAGCCTGGGTGTGAGGTGGGAGCCAGAAGGATGGGGGAGGCGAGGACAGAGTCACCAGGGTCAGGGAGCCGGAGTGGAATAAGCCGGACCTGTTCAAGGGGACGAAGGAGGTTGGCATGACAGGGAGGAGGTGGGAGGGGTGGAGACAAAGTGGGGGGGAAGCCAGCTCCTGCAGGGTGACAGTGCATGAGAGGTGGCTGTCAGATGGCCTTGAGAGAGCAGCCTGTGGGGGAAATAAAAGGATGGATGGACAGACAGATGGTGAGTGGATGGATGCATAGATGGATGGAAGAAAGGATGGATGGATGCATGGATGGATAGAAAGATGGATGGATGGATGGATGGATGGATAGACAGAAAGATGGATGGATGCATGGTTAGAAAGATGGATGGATGGATGGATGGATGGATGATAGAAAGATGGATGGATGGATGGGTAGAAAGATAGATGGATGGATGGATGGGTAGAAAGATGGATGGATGGATGGATGCATGGATGCATGGATGCATGGATAGAAAGATGGATAGGAGATAAATAGATATGCACACATTTGTATTGCTTAAGAAAAACTTTAAGCAAATTAAAATTAACAGAGTTTATTGAGGACAGAGTGATTTAGGAGTCAGAATGATTTATGATTTATGAACCCCTGGAGAGTTTCAGAGAGCCTGGCCCGGAAATGTGTACACAGTGAGCTTGATACCAGGAAGAAGGGTGGAGAAATCACATGACTGTGGTGGCGTGTCTGCCACGTGGATGTGACCTGCTTTACTTGGGCACAGTCTGGTCAGTGGGCTGCTGTGACCGGCTGAAGCTCAGCTGATTGTGTTTGGCTGAAACCCAGCTGTTTGTTACAAAAATGTTCTCCTGAGTAGGTTTTGGCTTGTTGGTGTTTAAATTAGGCTGCAGTTTACTACATAGGAACTCAGAGTACAAAGAAGGGCTGGTGGCCGCCTACTTACAGTCCCGTGGCCCTTTGGCTCCAGTTTCTTGTGTGACAGATGGAGACAGCTTTGATGATAACGATGATGATGATTGGTGATGATGGTGGTGGTGGTGGTGGTGATACCAGCTCCTGTCTATGAAGGGCCCGCAACAGGTGCATACCCTATGGACTCGCTAGCTTCTCAGCTCCCTCCGTGAGACAGAGGTCATGGTTCACCTTGGACAGATTGGGAAACTGAGGCCGGCCAAGGCTTCACTTGCCCAAGGCTCCACACTTAGTAGGTGGCATCCTGCAGTTTAGGACAAACAGCCTGACCATGAAGCTCTACTGTGAACCCACTGCCCCCAGCACCTGGCACCTCTGGCTCAGGCCTGCTGGACTGCAGAACTGTACCCCAAAATCAGCATCACAGTTCCCGATGCACGAAGGGCCCAGAGACAATGAACGGATTGGGGCACCCATTGCTGAGGTTGTAAAACCTCAGCAGAGACACTGGGAGCCCGGGACCCTCAGAGGCATCTGGTGACATGAGACAAGCCAGGGACGTGGGTCATATCAGGGAGGACACCTGCTTCACACAGCAGCCTGCACCTCAGGGGCTGGCAAGGTGCTGGGCATTTTGGGGCCATGGAGTCCTGGTTTCCAAAACCGAGAGAGGGGAGAACCCAGCTCCCAAGTTAGGATGAGCAAGCCAGGCCTCCCGCAGCTCCCTGCCCAGCTTTGCAGCTACCCGGGGCCACAGTGGCCCTGATGCCCTCAGCCCCTCTGCTGCCCGGGGCTGCTCCTCACAGAAGCACCAGCCACTCCAGGGCTCCTGTCTTCCTTGACCTGCACTCAGCGTTCTCGGACGGATGAAGTCTCATCTTAAACCAAGTAGAGACCTCAGGCCACTCTCCTCCCGAAGATGGGTCAGGAGCAGCGAGAAAGGAAAAGATGCTCCAGGAGGTGCTTGCTGGGGCCCAGGGCACAGACCCGAGGCTGAGCACAGAGGAGCCCCGAGCCGGGTGCCCAGATGGGGATGCGGCCTTTGCCGCCCTCGGGGAGCTGTGCCCTTGGGTCCCGGAGGCTGTAAGGAGCAGCTGGGGAGCTGGGGGCCGCAGTGCAAGCTGCCTGAGCCCCCGCTCTGCGTCCCCCAGACGGTGCAGATCCTCATCGGCCTCATCCACCTGGGCTTCGGCAGTGTGCTGCTCATGGTCCGCCGCGGCCCCCTGGGCATGCTCTTCATCCAAGGCGGCGTCCCCTTCTGGGGAGGATCCTGCGTGAGTGGCAGCCACATCCAGTCCTCGCCTAAGCCCGAGCCAGCCAAGCCAGAGCCCTGTCTGGAGCTGCTGGCCGGCAAAGGCTGCCCAGGTGGACGTCAGGCGGGAGAGCCAGGCCTGCCCCAAGCCGCCTGCACCCCAGGCCCCTCCCCGAAGCCCCTGCACAGCCCTGCAGTCCCCATGGGTCCCCGTGGTCCTGGGCTCAGTGCTGGGGTCCAACCGCTCCTGGATCCTCCACCGACCCCAGCCACGGCGCCAGGGCGCTGAGAACCCGGCAAGGGCTCCTGCAGGCCAGAGGAAGGAGGGTTCAGGGCCGGCAGTGCATACTGCTGCTAGGAGCCCCTGAGACTCGGGTGCCTGGCCGGGAGGCCAGCGGGGGCCGGGACGCTGTGCTGTGTCCAGGCAGGGCGACCACAGTGGGGCTGCCCGGGCCTTCATGTCCACCTCCGCCTACAGTTCGTCCTCTCCGGGTGCCTGTCGGTGGCGGCTGAGAGGAGCCACACAGGCTGCCTAGTAAGTCCGGGAGTGGGCAGTCAAGGCCGCCTGCTTCCACCCTGCCCGCTGACCAGTGCCCCAGGTGCCCAGGAGAGCAGTGCACTGCAGCTGGAGGGCAGAAGCAGGACCTGCACACAGGGGAGGAAGCCAGGGACAGGAGGGGAGGTGCTGGAGGGGCCCCTGGGGTGGGGCGCCAGACAGCAGGGGCCTGGGAAGAAAGAGGCCATCCTTTGCCAGCACAGGAGGGAGGGAAAGGAGCCCGAGCGGTGGCGACACCTGTCCTGTCGTCCCAGCACTCTGAGGCTGAGGCAGGAGCGTCACAACCTCAGGTCCAACCTAGGCAACTCGGAGAGATCTTATCTCCCCGTGAAAAATGAAAGGGGCTGGGGATGCATGCAGGGTGCAGGCCCCGGGTCCAGGCCCTGTGCCACCAACAGCAAAGAAAACACATCCGGGTGCCTGCGTGGCTGCCCCTGCGTCCCTGGCCCTCCTGTCCGCGCCCGCAGGTGAGGAGCAGCCTGGGCACCAACATCCTCAGCGCCACGGCGGCCTTCGCGGGGACGGCCATTCTGCTCATGGACTTCGGCGTCACCAGCTGGGTAACCATGGAGACGCCGCTGCGGGGGCGGGGCGGGGGTGGGCCAGGGACGCCCTGACGAGGATTTGGCTGCCAGGACGTGGGCAGGGGCTACCTGGCCGTGCTGACCATCTTCACCATCCTGGAGTTCTTCATCGCCGTCATCGCCACGCACTTCGGGTGCCAGGCCACGCGCGCCCAGGCCGACGCAGTGAGCACCGGCCCGCTGGAGCCAGGGCCTGCGCCGCCGCCGCCGGGGCAAGGCTGAGTGAGGGCGGCCTCTGGCCCCGCAGCTTCCCGCTGGGAAGGGGGGTGGAGGGGGGGCTGCGCACAGCGGGGAGCCGGGGCGAGGGGCCGGAGGGCAAAGGGAAGGCTCAGGGCTCAGCTCTGGGCCGAGGGCTGGGCCGAGGGAGGGCGGAACAGTAGAGGACTGAGCGGGGGAGGCGGCGGCTCCCACAGCCCGGGAGAAGCGGCTCACTCCGCGAGTGTCACGAAGAATCCACTTGTCAAAAACAGGCTCCTGGGAGGAAAGTTTATTCCAGCGGCCCGACAGGGACTGAAATCAGGAGATTCTAGCAGCTGGCTGGGAAAGGCCGAGTTTGTCACATCTGGGAGGGGGCGGGCTGACACGGGGACAGATGCTAGCCGTGAACTGGGGAGGGAGCTACCGTACAGGCCCTGAGGGGCGAGGAATCGGGGTGAAATGCTTACGACTTGGGGGCCCAGGGTCGCAGGGCCGGGCAGACAAGGAGGGCCGGGAGCCAGGGCGGGCAGGGGTGAGCGCAGGACAGGCTCCCCGTGTCCGGCCCAGGGCTGCGGCATCTGCGGGCTCGGGGCCTGAGAAGGGACAGAGGCAGCGGGGTGGCTTATCCCAGGCAGTCTGGGGGCTCGGCCTGGCCCGGACTAGCCGGGAGGGCGTGAGGTGTGGGTTTGTAGTCCGGCAGCTTCGGGTGCCCCTGGCTGACGGCCGGCGGGACCTTGTCCTCTTTACTGAGGAGCTGCGCTTGTCGCTGAAGGCAGCCTGTTTGCTTTGTCCATTTGTCTGTGAAGGGCTCGCTTGGCTCAGGCCTGACAGAAGGGAAATGGAGCAGAGCAAAGGCTGCCTCCCCTGGTGGGCGTGCTCTGGGGGGCAAGGACCTTTGGAGCCAGCTGGGCTCAGGGGACTCAGTGCAGGGACTGTCCGCGCATGGGCCAGGGCTCTGTGCAAGACATCCGGACAGCTGTCATCCCAGCACTCCAGGAAGCTGAGGCAGGAGGGTTTCGAGCTCCAGCCCAGCCTGGGGAATTTAGCGACACAGTGAAAGTTTCACACAGAGGAAAAGGCCCAGCCAGAGCCCACCAGGACCCGCTTCTCTGTCTCTGCAGTCTGTGGTCTTCCTGCCAAACACCTTCGGCGCAGACTTCGCCATCCCCAGCCCGGCCACCTCCCCGCCCCCCGCCTATGACAATGTGGCCTACATCCCCAAGGAAGCCTCCGAGTAGAATAGCAGATGTGGCCCTGCAGGCCAGCCCTGTCCCCTCGGCCACCCTCTCCACCCCACTCTGCTGCCCCCCTTTGCCCTGGGCTGAGGCCCTGGGTGGGGCTCTGTCCACCCCTGCCTCCAGGGCTCCTTTGCAGAGGACACCAGCGAAAGTCCGGGTGTGTGTCCATCACCCTCTGAGGGACGCCAGCGCCCCAAGCCCGATGCTCCGGGGTGGAGGTAATCTTGGCTCTGTGCTTGCCACTGCTCTGGCCTCGGATTTCCCACTTGGAATCTTCAGCCCCTCCCAGTGCCCGGCCTGGCATCGCCCCCTCCCCCCAGCGGCCCCCTTCTCCTTGTCTGTAATATGGAGCCGGAGTGGACTCAGCCCAGGCCCCTGCCCAGGGACATGGCAGGCACCCTCGCCCCGGGGCAGCCCGGCCCCTCAGGCTCCGCCAGCGTGTCACCATGGCAACCAGCTGATCCCGAGGGACTAGGAGATGCCTTAGCCCTTGTCACAGGTCCTGGTGTACAACTCGAGCCGTCCACACCGCAGAGGAAAATAAATGGTGTGGCCTTGAGGCTGGGCGGCCTCACTGCAAAGAGTCTGCTTTCTAACCTCAAGGACGTCCTCGGCTGTCCCAGCAAAAGGGCACCAGTGGCTGCCAGTGATGAGCTCCATGTGGGTGGCCCCACTTCCTCTGGCCTCACCCTGCAAGAAGCCCACCTGCTGGTCCCACTCTACACAAGGACCCTGAAGTTAAACCCATGCCAGGGCCTCGGGACTACCAAGAAGCAGTGCTGGGATTCAAACCCAGCTAGCTCCCTGTGACGTCACCACGTGCTCTTACCCCATGAACCCCCACCACAACCCCAAGTGCTTCCCGCAACCCAAAGGCTGGACAGGACTGCATTCCTCACCACATCCACTTCACCCAACAAACTCCTGCTCCTCCTTCAAGACCCAGTTCAACTGCTGCCCCTGCCGGGCGTCTTCCCAAAGGCGGGGTAGTCATGGACCCCAGTCTAGTCACTGGACTAGAGGAGGACAAGCGAGGTGCCACAAGGAGACCTTCACTCCTGGGGCCATGCCCTGCAGAGCTGGCAGGGGGTTGACCTTAAAAATCAAAAGAGTGTGGTGGCCCATGCCTGTCATCCCTGCACTCTGGGAGGCTGATGCAGAAGGTTACAAGTTCAAGGTCAGATGGACACACACCTTAGTGACTTAGCAAGGTCCTATCTCAAAATAAAATGTTAGAAAGGGCTGGGGAACTGGGGATTTAGCTCAGTGGCACCACGCTTGCCTTGCAAGCGCAAGGTCCCGAGTTCAATTCCTGATACAAAAAAAAAGGCCCTGTCCTCAACTCAGAGTACCAATAAAAGAAAAAGCCACAAGAAGAGGCTGGTACTTAGGGTTAGGGTTTAAGATCAGAAAGTGCAAATGTGCCTGAGGACTGGGGAGCACCTTCCGGCTGCTCAGAGCTGAGGGGAGGAGTTTGGATAGCAGGGTAGGGGATGGGGGACGGAAGAGGGAACGTGCCCCGGCAAGAACCCCCCTCTGTTCTCTGCCCACTGAGCCCCTCAGGAGGACGGGGCCACACACAGACCAGCTGGGGGACTGATCGGACGGACGCCTCCTCCCGGGCCCCTGCAGATGTCCCCTGTGTTGAGGCAGGGGAGGTTTATTTGACTCATGGTTATAGGCCGGGGCAGAAGTGGCTGGAGACCAGGTGTGTTCCGAAGAGAAATCCACAAAGATCTGAGCATGTGACAGGCTGTACTATGCTCATGGATCAAGAAGCTCAACTGTGCTACTTGGCCACTTACTGCCTCATGCTGAGGGCGTTGGGTGTTGTGTCTCATCCACCTGGGAGTGACGAAGACGGGCACATGGCCGTTAATCTCCCCAAAAACTCTCACTTCAAACACACTGTCCCATTGTTCTCGGCAACGTGGCCCTTACCATACCAAGTTGTTTTAAATGTAAACTCCCACTGCATGTTTTGATCACCCCTTGTGAGCAGTGGTGTATTTATTTAAAAGGAATAAACGAAAAGGAACACCCTGCTGCCACGTCTAAGGTGAATCTGTGTGGAGGGCCAGGCCCTGCAAACACACTCTGCTTCATCACACTGCTGAGCACCCCGAGAACTGACAGCAGCTGAGCCTGTGGGGACAGAGAGGGGTGCCTGGGACTGGCGGTGCTGGTGACCATCAGCCGGGCGTGCACGCAGGTCACAAGCAACCAGCGCGAACTCGGTCCTGCACTCCGCTGTGTGTGATCGCCTCTGTCTTAGAAAGTAGGGAATGATGGGAAACAAGCCCTGGCCTCACAGCGGTCCATGGCCCACTCGGGCTGACGGCAGGACCGCGGCCTGGACCCTGCAGGCTGAGCCGTGGCCCTGCTGCAGTCCCGTCCTCTGCCTCCAGGCCCGGCCCTCCCTCCCTCCTTCCCTCATGGGCCTCTTCCGAGCCAGCAGGGACCCCCCGCAGCTGTCCCGGGCCAGCAGCCGCCTCCCCAGCGAAGGATGGAGGGAGTGACGGGGCACCCGGAGGAGGCAGCCGCTGCAGCCCCAGCGCCACCACCCCATCCCGCAGACTGCGCCAGTGCTGCACACCTCCTGTGCCGTGGGTCCTGCGGCCGCCGGGAGGGTTGGGCACCGAACCCCCTGCACTCCCTCCTCTCGGCCGCACCCCTCTACTCCTCGGAGGTCTCGGTCTGCCTGGCCCATCTGCTCCGGCCACTGTCGCTGCCCTCCTTCCCACAGAGTGTGCAAGCCGCCCAGATGGCACCGGGGTCACTGTCCTCGCCTGGCACCCAAGGGCACCCATCTCCACCTCCCAGCCAGCCCAGCCCTCTGCACTGGGTCCCGCGTCACCGGTGCCCGCAGCCCGCTGCTCCCCTGCCCTCACCTCCTGTCCGCAGACAGCACCGCCTGACCTGTGCCCGCACTGCACCCCACCTGCCCCCAGAGCCCAGGGCCGAGCCACCCCACCCAGCTCCTGGGTCACAGGCTCTGGACTCCACTAGCGGGCAGGAGTAACCGAGTCCTGCTGCCCCGTCCTCAGGGCCAAGTCCACACTCTGGCTCCGATGCTGGAGATGCAGCTACCGCCCGCCCAGCCTGGCCTCTGCCCGCTGCCCGCCTCCCTCGCAGGCTCGACTATCCCTCTCTGCTCAGAGACCACCTCCTCCAGGGGCCCAGCCCCGCTTCCCTCCCTCAGAGCCTGAGGGGGGCCTCAGCCAGCTCTCAGCAGCCAGTTCCAGCACCTTCCGCCTGGACAGTGCACTCGGCCCCAGGGCCCCTGGACCAGTCACCACCACCCACCGTGGCTTTGCCCAACACAAATTCCTGTCATGCCGTTCCGAGGCCAGAGCCCTGAAACAGGGATCGGAGTGGGGCGAGCCCAGCTGCCCAGTTTCGCGTCCTCGGGAGGCCGCCTGTGTCCACGCCCGGGCCCTTTCCATGGCCGCCTCCCAGACTGACCGGTCCCGCTTGGCCACGCTGGCCATCAGGTGCCTGCTCAGCCCCAGGTCCTGGGCTGCGTCTCCCTCCGAGCCTCGCCCTGGGCAGGCGCAGTCACTGCAAGGCCAAGTGGGCCGGGCGTCCTCCTCAGCCACAGAGTCCCAACCCCAGGGCCCCAGGTGCGGCCAGTGCCCGTCCAGCCCAGGCCCATCAGTGAGCAGGGTGCCTCGAGACTGTGACCTCCACACCACACAGCGTTACCAGCCAGCACGTGGTATTATTACCCCCTTCACAGAGGGGGAAACCGAGGCCCGGTGAGGTCACATGACTCACTCAAGATCAGCAGAGATGAAGGGGCAGAGCCAAGATTCGAACTCGGGAAGTGGACCCCATCACAGGCCAGAGCCGGGCAGCCCGGGCACAAGGGCGTCCGGGTGGCCGTGGGGCTCCACGCACTGCTGCCACCCCTGCCTTGTGCTTGAAGGAGGAACAGGGCAGGCTGGGACCCTCTGGAGGGTCCACACATCACTTCTGCGGGTGGGGCATCAAGCCTGTGGGCCAGGCCTGCGGAGCTCCGCCAAATGGAAGGTGACGGGATGATTAGGAGGCAGGGGGAGCAAGGTGAGCGTTGACCGAGCCTTAGCGTGCAGTTATCAGCCAAAACAGGACGGAAATGGACTTCTCCAACCCCTCACGTTGGCCTTTTTGAGACAGTGTCCCACTAAGCCTCTAAGTTGCCCCGCCTGGGCTTGAATTTGCAATCCTCCCGCCTCAGCCTCCCAGGATGGCAGGTGAGCATCACCAGTGTCCGAACACTCAGCAGAGCTCGGCAGGGCGCTGAGCCCAGAAGTGCCTCGGTGGCTCCCAGTTCTGCGGGTGAGGCTGCACCTTTTTAAGTCCATGTGTTTTAGAGGTTAGTCCTGGAATGCTTACAAATGCACGGACAGGGTGGCTGAGCTCTGCTCGGGTCTTGCTGTGTGAGTGCTGGAAATTGTCCAGAATTGAAAGGCGCTGTGGACACACCTAGCGTCTGACTCTGCCATGACTATGGCCCCTTCACCCCAGGGCTGCCCCAGACACAGTCCTTGCGGAAGGGACTGGACGTCACTACCAGGAACGGGAGGCCTACGGAAGGGGGCTGAGCTGTCATCTGGCCCCAAGACTCGGGCGTGAGGCTGGGTGGGTCCCGGAGGGCAAGAGCCAAAGTCTAAGGTGTAAAGATGGCCCGATTGCTGGCGCCGGCTCCCTGGGCAGGGGTGAGGCCAGAGCTCGGCAGGGTGGAAGTCCCCAGGCTGGGTGAGTGGTCCCGAGACACCAATCCCCATGGGCTGGGTGGCCCAGGAGCTCAGTCCCGCCGGGGATCGAGGAGGCCAGACTTGCACCCCAGCCCGGTGCTGACCAAGAGGTGGGGGCCAGCAGTGTAAGTTCAGCTCCGCACCCGCCTGGTGGCTGCGGAACAGGGGCCCTCGGGGTGGGAAGGGTGTGGGGAGGGCCGGGGCCACCAGGAGCCCTCCGCAGCAGGCACTGCCTGGGGGCTGGGCAGAGCACCACAGGGACCACCCGGAGGGCACGAGGCAGCCGAGAGGGACAGACAGGGCCCAGGCCTCTGCCCGCCAACCCTGCACTCCTGAAGGCGGCCGGAGGGGACTGGCTTGGGCGTGGGCGGGCATGGCTGCTTCTCAAGCCTGTGCGCTGCACCCGATTCTCATCCCACTAGCAGCCTCCTGTCACAGGCTCCTGCCAGTGCCACCCAGGCCTGCCGTTCTCTGCTTGGCGTGCACACACACGCACACACACGTCCATGCACAAGCACAAGCATACAGATACATGCACACACGCACAAGCACAAGCACAGATATGTGCATACACGCACATGCACATGCATACACAGATACACACACACATGCATGCACACACACACCCTCCAAGGCCCTCCCTGTGCCTCGGCCTCTACGCCTGGGGCCACATCCCCCACGCCAGCCGTACCTGCTGTTTGGCCGGGCCTCCCTGAACAGCCCCTCCGGCCTGGGCCCTGGCACTCGTCCAGACCCCTGGCAGAGCCGGACGTGGATGCGCGGAGGCAACTGGTCCTGGCTGGTGCTTTACCACCCAGTGCCGGGACCTGCACAGGGCAGCCTCCCAGCTCGGCCCCCCACGCTCACACCCACGCCCCGAGCCCCTGCCTGCAACAGAGGAGAGACCCCCGATGTAAACAACCTGCCCAAGGCCAGGCTCAGGCAGGCAGAGCCGGGACCTCCAGCACCCTGTCTGGCCCGCTCTGAGGGGAGCTGGGGGTCCCCCCACCCCGTCCCTGCCCTCCCAGAGCCGAGGACCAGGGCAGAGAGGCCCAGGACCACGCCCTGCCCAGCGCCCAGGGCTGCAGAGAACATGAGGCACAGGCATGTCCTCCCCATCACAGGAGGCTCCTGGCCGCCCCACGCCAGCCCCAAGGGCAGGAAGCGACCCTGGGGCTCAGAGGCCGGCGCCCACACCTGCCGTGTGATGCCCACAAGAAAACCAAAGGACAGCAGAGGATAGGAACCCGAAGTTTACAGCCATTTTGGCCAAAAGCAGAAACAGCAGCATGGAATCGCTGGGCTGTGTCCAGTGAAGTTTGGAAGATGCGCTTAGTGTAAAAACAGTGGCTCCTCCTCCAGAACCCTCAGCCCTTTCACAGCAGAAGGGCAAGATGGTATCCAGGGCTTCCCAAACTCGTTAGACCACAGAACCCTTTTACTGAAGCTCCATTACAGCCAGTGTTCCGCGGAACACAACGTGAGAGAGGCTGCTCTGACTCCTTGGGTCTCCCCACTGGATACCCGAACCACGCGCCCTGCCATGGCTCCGGAGATATGGTGGGGGGTGGTAGTGCTCTCTCCAGCGTCCCCTGCAGACCCCTCCTAAGCCTCAGGAAGGAGACGCACCTGACAGCCTTTCCCTCTGCCCGCAGCCAGGGCCCCAGCCAAGCTGATGGCAGACAATGCGGGTGCCCCCCAGGGCACGCAGCCAGGTGGAAGCCGGCACCCTGACAGCCCCTGGAGGTGGAGGGGGAGAAGCAAGGGGAGCCTCCTGCTGGGGCTGGCGGTGAGTGTTACCCCAGGCACAGGGGGCTCAGCAGGCAGGGTGAGGACGCAACAGAAAGCTGCAGCACGCGCCCGCCTGCTGCCTTGCCAGGCACTGCCCGGGACAGGTGCCCTCAGTCCGCGCCGCGGGGCTGGGAAGGGTCCTGCAGAGAAGCCCAAGGGGCGTGGGACACTGCAGCCCCTCAGGCCACCCGCTGTCCCCCGCCAGGTCCTCCACCTCTTCCTCGGCCTCCTGACCCTGACCTTCGGGACCTTCCTGGCCACCAGCGTCGGGGAGGCTCACCTGGTGGTGCTGAAGTGCTGGTACCCGTTCTGGGGGGCCGCGTCTGTGAGTGGGGGCCGCGGGGGAGAGCACAGCTCAGGGCAGGGGGCCAGGATGCAGCTCCTCCTGGGGGCTGTGAACCTAACCTGAGGGGCACTGAGTCCTGGTCTGGCAGTGCGAGGACAGCTCCTCCTGGGCCCGTGGGAGGAGAACCACCCGCCACCCTCTCAGCACTCCCCGCCCTGGCTCCCCACGCC